AAAAAAAAAAAAAAAAAAAACAACAACAAAAAAACATTCTTCCTGTTCAGTCAGATAGAGCTGTACTTAGTCCAAGTCAATTCTTATGTTTTTGCCACCTGGAGGCGTTTTCCTGAATGACTTCTTTCCTTCTCTTTCCACAGTGTTAGAAGGGCACCTCTGAGATCAGTAAGTGGATACCTTTTTCCACTCTGTGGTATCTCCTTCATGCAGGGAAATGTTCCTTTGAGCCCACTTCTCAATCTCAAAACTATGTGCTGCTAATAATGTAGGACTCAGTAAAGATTCTCCCCTAACTGATTCAGTTGCACATTCGTAGGTAATTGATATAGTCCACAATTTTAAATGCTTTGTAACAAAAGTGTTTATGATTTCACTATTTTTATCTAAAAATGAAGTGAAGCATTGGACAGTCAGAAATCATCTAGTATATTGACATAATCCATCTACTAGTATTTCTATTTTTTTTCCTTCTTTCTTAAAAAGCTACTGCTGTGAAAAAGCTACTGCTCATCTAATGGTATCTGGTTAGGGAAATTAGGAATCAGCAAATGCAGGATACACTGTTCCTTCTTCCCCAGAGAACCTTTCAGAGAGGATGACCTGCCCATATCAAGTATCAATGTTCTTGATAATATATCATGAAATAGCATTATAAAATGTAAAAAATATTCATTCATCATCCATTAAGAGTTGTTGATATGTATCTCTTAACTATAGGGTCCTAATCTCACTTTCTCTGTCCTTACTGTCATTTTTCATCCACTCTAAACTCCCACTGATAGTGAATACATACTGTTTTTAATCTGTCATCCAATATACAATTTGATTATTTAGTTAAATTTTTGTAATACCTTTACTCCTGATCAAAAGAGTTATAGCACAAATAATTGAACATTAACTTTGTTTGCCTTTTTGTTCATCAATCGTCCCTAGAGGACAAGTGGTGTGGATTTTTTTTTCCTTCAGGACTAATGAGAAGTATGTAGTGGGTTATCTATAAGATCTTGCCAGTTCCCATTATAGCCAGTGGCTCAAATTTTTAAAAGCTCTCTGATATTGGAAGTGCAATCAGGCAGCTTGGACTGGGGGTTTCTTTATTTCTGTCTTTTTTTGAGATGGAGTCTCACTCTGTCGCCTGACTGGAGTGCAGTGGCGCAATCTCGGCTCACTGCAACCTCCGTTTCCCATGTTCAAGTGATTCTTCTGCCTCAGCCTCCCAAGTACCTGGGATTACAGGTGCCCGCCACTACTCCCAGCTAATTTTTTTATTTTTAGTAGAGACAGGGTTTCACCATGTTGGCCAGACTTGTCTCAAACTCTTGACCCCAAGTGATCTACCTGCCTTGACCTCCCAAAGTGCTGAGATAACAGGCGTGAGCCACCGTGCCCGGCCTGGTGTTTATTTTTTCAGACAAAAGACAATCAAAAAGGCAAACCTTAAATATTTTGGGTAAAGAAATCAGGTTGAAAAGAAAGAGAAAGAAGGGATAAAGTTGATAAGGAGTATATGTAAAGGAAGGACATAAATACTTAATAATAAGAATTATAAGAGTCTATAGCCTGGTCAACATGGTGAAACCCAATCTCTACTAAGAAAAAATACAAAAATTAGCTGGGAGGTGACAGTGTGTGCCTGTAATCCCAGCTACTTAGGAGCTGAGACAGGAGAATCACTTGAACCCAGGAGGCGGAGGTTGCAGTGGTTGCAGTGAGCCAAGATTGTGCCATTGCACTCCAGCCTGGGCGACTCTTATCTCAAAAAAAAAAAAAAAAAGTCTAAAAAGTCAAACACTGAATATCACTTATTTATATATTTACAGGGAATCTACCTATTTTTGTAAATTAATTTTTATACTTGCCACCTTACTGGATTATATTATTATTTCTAATGATTTTTCAGTCAATTCTCTTGGATTTGCTTAGTATGCAGTAACTTTGCCATCTTAAACCGGAAGTCCCCAAAGGTGATCCAATTGTTTCCCAGCATAAAACCATTCATTTTCCTTCTTAATGTCCTTAAGATAAAGTTTAAAAATTCTTCATCTCAACTAATAGGACACAATGAGTAGTCCCTTTTTACTTCTTCAGACTCATCTCCCACCACTCTCCCCTTGGTGCACCAGGTGTGTTAGTTGTCTTTCAGCTTCTTTCCCAAGGCACATTTGCTCTTGATTCAGAGTCTTTCTGTGTACTGCTAACTGCCTGGAAGATTCTTTGTTCCTTTCTTCATGCAGCTAAGCCCTACTAATCCTTTAGGTTTCCCTTTGAAAGCCTTCCCTAATCCCCAGACTAGAGGAAAATTCCCCTCCTCTGCACCATATTAACACCCTTTACTTCTGCTTTCCTGACCCTTACCCCATTTGAGATGGAGGGTATGAAGGAGCGGCTTGAAGAAAGGAGTGTGAAGGTTCATAATAGCTGCTATGGCAGTGAGCAAAAGGACTAACTGATGAGAAGTGGCAAGATTACTCATCATCATTGTGGGCCTAGCTTCAGAGGGGACCCAGGTATTGGTATAGAAATTGGTTAGCATGGTTGGCTTATGGCATTTACTTCAAAGGTATTCCACAGCCCAGGAGCCAGATTAGTTAAACAAAGCCAGTAGTAGAGATTTTGTGCACCCCCCCATCCCCCAAGTTACGTGACAACATTTTGAGACATTTTTTAATTGTCATGGCTGCAGAGTGGAGTTGTCCTACTGGCCATTTAGTGGGTAGAGGCCAAGGATGCTGCTGAACATACTACAGTGTACAGGAGACACCCATACAACCATGAATTATCTGGCCCCAAATGTCAGTAGTGTCAAGGCTGAGAAAATCTGATCTATCATTGATCTCAGGAAAAAGGAAAATAGTCCGTGCTGGCGTGTAGGGGTCAGAATACAAACATCTCCTTCTCCCCTTGGAATATATGATGTGGATCCCAAGCTCTCATGCTGTATTGCTGTCATTTCATACACACTGCCTTGTGTGATGGGTCATCATCTTCACAAACCACCAAGGTTAATTGATTTATTCTCAGAATATTTATTGCCTGATGTTACGTGCAGGACCACAGAGACCATAGAGAGAGTGGAAAGATCAGTAGATCAAAGTAAATTCAATGTAGAATTTGAAGGGGAAAATTATAATTGCAGTATAAGTTAATATATTTATCTGTTTACAAATAGATCCATACAAGTAAAACTTTTGTAATTCTCATTTTTTTGCATTTTAGATAATGGCCTTATGTATACTTTTGGAGATGGTCGCCATGGAAAATTAGGACTCGGAGTGGAGAATTTTACCAATCAGTTCATTCCCATTTTGTGCTCTAATTTTTTTATGTATATAATTAAATTGGTAAGGGCATCACATTTTCCTGTTTATATTTTCATATTCCTACATTTGAGTCTTTCTGTATTTCATAGAATATACTTTTATGTTTGTATGAAAGAATATCATGGATATATCTAATAAATATAATATTAGTTTCTTAAAAGCCACATCTCAGACATTATGCCACTCAGAAAATGTCTCTCTCCTAATTTTCCTCCTTTAGCATCATCCTCTTTGCTGAAATCTTGACTCTTCTTTGTTCTCATATATCTCTTGAAAGCTGGGACTGTGCCATGCCTGCAAGCTTTGTATATTGTGTAGCACCCAGCAGAGTACCTTGCTCACAGTGGTCTTTAGTAAATATTTGCTGAATTAAATGTTAGAGACTCTCAAATCCTGCACAACAGAAAGTCTGATAATAGAGTTTTGGCGGGGTGCAGTGCAGTGGCTTACCCCTGTAATCCCAGCACTTTGGGAGGCCAAGGCGGGTGGATCACCTGTGATCAGGAATTTAAGACCAGCCTGGCCAACATGGTGAAACCCTGTCTCTACTAAAAATACAAAAATTAGCCGGGTGTGGTGGCACACAACTGTAATCCCAGCTACTTGGGAGGCTGAGGCATCAGGATTGCTTGAACCTGGGAGGTGGAGGTTGCAGTGAGCTGTGGTTGTGCCACTGCACTCCAGCCTGGGCAACAGAGTGATACTCTGTCTCCAAAAAATAAAATAAATAAAATAAAATAAAATAAAATAGTTTTGGAGATGTGGTATTTTGGCTAAATTTTCTTAGGTTAAGGATATATTATTTCAGTGTCACATCACTATCACGCATCATACCTGTATTGTTTCTTAATACTTTTGCCAGTTTAGACTTTTAAAAATTCTGTTTACTTGATGATAATACTGGCATTTGTCCTCCAAAGACTCAGTGTCTCATAATATGGAACACTTTCATTTATTGATTTGACAATTATTTAATGAAAGCCTACTGTGTATAAGATAGTGTGCTAAATATAAGAAATACAAAGTACTGGCCAGGCAGGATGGCTCATGCCTGTAATCCCAGCACTTTGGGAGGCCGAGGTAGGCAGATCACCTGAGTTCATGAGTTCAAGACCAGGCTGGCTAACATGGCAAAACCCCATCTCTACTAAAAATACAAAAATTAGCTGGGCATGGTGGTGGGTCCTTGTAATTGCAGCTACTCAGGAGACTTGAGGCAGGAGAAATGCTTCAATCTAAGAGGCGGAGGTTGCAGTGAGCCGAGATTGCGCCATTGCACTCCAGCCTGAGTGTCAAGAGTGAAACTCCATCTCAAAAACAAAAAACAAAAAACAAAGTACTGTATACAGTGATGAATGAAATAACCAAGTCCTCATTCATTGAGGACTTATTTATTACAGTCTAATGATAATTTTTAAAAGGATATATAAATACATATATATTTAAATTTTAAAGTATTATGAAGGAAAAGTAGAACATTATAAAGTATGTAGAACCTGTGTACGGAAAATACTGCACTATGGGGTTTTTTAAAAGCATTTTCTTGCAAATCATTTCTCAAAATTCTTTGAATGCTGATTTCATTTTTCATTGTTCCATCATCATGCATACTTTCATTTATTTTCCTCTAAGAACTTTTAAGCATTAAACTTAGAAAATGTCCATATAAAGGAGGCTTACAGACATAATTAGCTCCCAGAGACTGATTAATACTTTTTTAAAATAAATTCTTCCAGTAATTTTTTCACATTTTTAATGTTCCTCCCAGATTAAAATATAACATTTTCTAACTGTAAGGAGAAATGTAATTTGCCAATTATTTTTTCTTTATATTATTTTAAATGGAAAGTAAAATGGTGGATTAAACTTGTTTTCATTTGCAATCACAGTGCTTAATGAATATGTATGGTAATTGTGTACATATTGTGTACACATTCTCATTGTGCACACACATATGTATAGACAGATTCACCAAGTCAGTCCATCAACGAAGCCTACCACTAAGTAAATGTCTTACAGCTGATAACTGTTAAAAACTCATTTGTGTTTGAAGCCAGTGTTGATTAGTTTTTCTGTGGATTTATGCTGCAGGTTGCTTGTGGTGGATGTCACATGGTAGTTTTTGCTGCTCCTCGACGTAGAATGGCAGAAGAAATTGAATTTGGTGAAATAAATGATACTTGCTTACCTTTTCTGCCCTTTGGCAATTTAACATCAGGAAATGTACTGCAGAGAACTCTATCAGCACGGATGCGGCGAAGAGAGAAGGTACAATTGTGGCCTATTCTGATAATAGTACTATCTAATACTGCAAAGAAAACTAAAAGAAAAATATGTTTTCTTTTTAAATTGAAAAGTCTTCTCAGATAAATTTGCTAAGTAAAATTATTAAAGTTGAGTGCTTACAAACTTTTAGAGTTAATTCAGAAAACTTCAGAAAAGCTTAATGCTTTTAAAGACACAAATTAGAAAATTTAAATTATGAAAAACCTTTGCATATAGACAATGGTGCTATAAAATCATCCTTTTATAGGCCTATTTCTCACCTCACATTGAATGCTGAATTGTTTTTTCAACTGCATGTGGTTTGACTTGTTATATGCTTTTTTTATTATGGTAATAAAAACACAACAAATACACCCACTTAACAGAGTTTTTAAGTGTGCAGTACAGTATTGTTAACTATAGACATAATGTTATGTTGTTCAGAAATCTGTGGAACTTAATTATCTTATATAATTCTACATTCTTTTATATTTTAGTTAAACCTCATGAGCAGTGGAAGGTTATACTCTATAAATAATGAAATGGGAAAACAAAGAAATAAGGACTTCAGTTAGAGAGAGGAAATATTTTCTCAATTAAATTTAGAGATTCTCCTTGTGTTTTAAAATTATTGTTCCAATGATGTATATATATATATGTGTGTATTTTTTTTTTTTTTTTTTTTTTTTTATAAATTTTTTTTTTTATTTTTTTTTTTTTTTTTTTTTTTTTTAAAAATATTTTTTTATATTTTTTTTTTTTTTTTTTTTTTTTTTTTTTTTTTTTGAGACAGACTCTGTCACCCAGGCTGGGGTGCAATGGTGTGATCTTGGCTCACTGCAACCTCCGCCTCCAGAGTTCAAGCAATTCTCCTGCCTCAGCCTCCTGAGTAGCTGGGACTATAGGCGTGTGCCACCACGCCCAGCTAATTTTTTTGTATTTTTAGTAGAGATGGGGTTTCACCATGTTGCCCAGGCTGGTCTTGAACTCCCAACCTCAACTCGTCCACCAGCCTCAGCTTCCCAATGTGTTGGGATTACAAGTCTGAGCCACCAAGCCTGGCCCCAATGACACATATGTCTTTTAAAGTAAATGGCAAATAATTTTTGAAGGTGACATTCCTTTTTTGAAAATTACTGTAAGTTTTAAAACACATTTTTTCAAGTTTCATAGCAGTTTTATTTGTAATAGCCAACACATTTCTTTTGAAGTAAAAAGGTTAAATCTGATGTTTTGTTATAAAAAAGCATATATGGAAAAGTTAAGAAATACTCCATTAGTGTTTTGTAGTCGTTGTTTATTTACATCTCCTAAGTAATGTTTTATTTCTTAGGACGGGTAGAGAAAGTGCACACACATTTTTCCCCCATCATGTGAAAAAAAGAAGCTACCAAATTGACAATTTAGAGCAAGTAAGGTACAGAGACAACAGGACAAATGTTTTTGAGCCTTTGAGGGTTATTAAGAAGTAAATGTTGTGCAATGTTAGCATATTTTGAAGTCTTTCTCTTAAATATTTTTAGCAACTTTGAGGAAAGTTTATATCAATATTAAATATATAACATCATTTAATAGTTTGTTTAACCTGCTTATTTTAAAGGAGAGATCTCCAAGTTCCATTCCATTGATAAGAACACTACCTCCAGTAGAAGGAACTCTTGACCCTTCCGCTTCTTTTCCCCCCAAATCACTTTTCCCATGTTGTTCTAAGAATGACCTCCTAGAGAGAATCTTACCTGAAGAGGCCCTCATGCAGCCAGAGGAACCAGGTAACTTTTGCTACTCTGTCTGCTCTCAGTATAAATGTGCCTTTTATTCCTGTTGTTTTTATGTTCATCTTAAGATGTTTTCTCCAGTTATTTAAGTTGTTCTCTCCCTGGTTAGAGCCTAAATCTCTCATTTGAACTCAAATCCAGAAGTATCCTTACTTCTGGAAAGCACCATCAGTGCCCCTAAGAGTGCCATGTAAGCACAGCAGCATGTCTTTATAGAGCAGTGGATAACAGTCATAGTACCTTCCTTAACTTGATCGTCTTTAAACCCTGAAACCACTCGATGAACTTGGGAGGGAATTATAGTCCTCATTTTACAGATGAGAAAAGCAAGGCTTGAAGAGATCATGTGACTTGGCCAAGGTCACTCAGTTTATAAACGAAGGGGTCAGAATTTGAATGCAGGTCTTCTGAATCTTTTTGAAATTCTATATTTAGGCTGTATAACATAGCGGTTAAGAGCATAGGATATGGAGTTAAACTCATCTGGGGTCAAATGCCAGTTTTGACATTTACTAGCTATGTGACGGACTTTGGGAAAGTTGCTTAACATCTCCAAGCCTCAGTTTCCTTGTCTTTGAAATTGATTTAAGAATACTGACTTCAGAGAGTGATTGTGAGGATTCAGTGAGATCAGGCATATAAAATATTTATCATTGAGCCCAACACCTCTAGAAACACCTCAGTAAAGGTTGTTATGATTAATTTAATATCTTTACCTCACTACCTATTAGATACAGATTTCATGTTTTAAATTGTAATCCCAGCTCCTTCACTATTCTGTACCTCTTCTAAATAATTTTCTTTACAGATATTTGTGTATCTTACTGCAGGACATCTAGAGAGGAAATATTCTTTCTTAATTAAATTTAGGGATTCTCCTGTGTTTTAAAATTATTGTTCCAATGATGCATATTTTTTAAAGTAAATGGCAAATAATTTTTGAAGGATACGTTCCTTTTCTGAAAGTTGTAAGTTTCAAAACATTTTTTTTTTTGAAGGTTCATAGCAGTTTTATTTGTAATAGCCAACATACTTCTCTATTTGTTAGGGGTAGGACAAGAAGCCAGGATCAGGAGATCAGAGAGTAAGCAGTAGATTTGAAATTAAGAAGATAAACCTGGCATCAGGGACTAAGAATGAGGGACTAGGAACAGATAATTTGTATATCTTTGAGATCAGGAACATAGGCAAAGGGTTGAGGTAATAAAGGATTGGGAACTTAGGTAAGAATGGTGGGCCATGGGAATGGGATATTACATATAACTAGGATCTTGGTAATGAGCTGATTTCTTATACCTGACCCACAACTTTTATATGTTTTCTTTTGAAATAAGAATCAGTGTTTAATGGTACTCTTCAGACCTTGATATGGAAAAGATAGTAGATTCTGACAAGCAGTTTGTATTGTGTACAAGGGAAAAAAGACATTTATGGTTAGGGAAAATTGTTTCTCAGTCCCAGAGATTTGAATGTGAAAATACACATAATTTTGTAGCTAGATCAAAAGGAAATGCCATCTCTTGTCTTTTTGTGACTGCTAACACTCTCTTAATGAAGTGTATTTTGAAAGTTGTAACTAACACATACTGTGACTTTTTCTAAATCTTTCACAGATGTCAGTCTTTATAATGGAGGAAAGTGGATCAGGATATGTCTTACTAAGGAGGTGTCATTTAAGCTCAAGGATAAGAAAGAGATGACTATGTATTTAAGGCAAAGAAACTAATATAGGCAAAGGTTTGGAGGCAGTTAAGAAGAAAAGACAATCAATGGGGTTAGAAAGTGAGCAAAAGGATAAGATAAAATAGTATTGGAGAAAGAGACAGTGAAAAATTATTTATGGTTTCTTAATCGCAACAGAAAGCCATTAAAAGATTTTAAGCAGTAGGCTGATGTGTTTCAATCCTATTTCTACTTTAAGATGATTATGATCACTTCTACCTCCATATAGATTTATACAGAGGCCAGACTAGAAATAGAATACTTGTGAGCCCTTTGCAAGAGATGATAGTGTATGGACCAAGGTGTTTGCAGTGGAAA